CAACAGCAACAGACAACTGCTCAGTAAATTGCTTCAGAGAAGGAGCCTTCTTCAAAGGCACAAAGGTGCAAACATTTATGGATGAACATCACCCTGACAAAGCTGTTTCAGGCCATGTTGGCAACATGTACAATGACAACATTATGTCCCATTTTTGGGAAGTTTTAAAGAATTGCCAGATACAGACCTCTGTGGAACACTTTTTTGAGTGACAGGGTTCCAGTGACTCTCAAGCTGGTCCTAGTGGCATTAAAAATCAAAGAAGGGAAGTAACCCCAGAAAAGGACTTGGTACCTGAAGGGGATTCCCCTTCCAAACAATACACCTCCATCCTCTACCCTCCTCCCATCTCATCACTCATCAATAAGTCTTCAGTAAAGGTAAGTGTCTTTTTTGTAATGTTTTATTCTGCATGTCTCATTGTTTTCTGTGTAGGGAAATGTATATTTCACACACAAAATTTTTTTTTAATATTTTTGGGTGTTGGGGACGGATTAATTGGATTTCCATTATTTCTTATGGGGAAAATTAATTCAGAATTTGTCAGATTCGGGTTTAGTCACTCTCTCTGGAATGGAAAACTGGGGGACCACTGTATTTCTAGACAATAGTAAATGATCAAGGCAGGTGAAAATGTACACCCTGTCGGAGTGATTGTGACTATTTGAGTATTATTTCACTACTGTACCTAATATTCGGAGTGATTGTGACAAATTTGAGTACTATTTCAGTACCTAATATTAGTGTCAGAACAAAGGTTGGCTATGAAATCACAAGAAATATTATAAATTGTAATTATCAGAACATAAAAATTATATAAATTAAAATAAAAACAAGAAAAAAGGTGTATCGGCAACACTTCTGCAAGCAGCAGGACTTGAAGTTGCCATCAGGTGAGCATCCAGCACCAACTTTGCAGTCTTATATCTCTGTAAGTACTGGTCCTAAAATTTTTTTTGGGTCTTATAACACAGAAAATTGCCCTCTTTAACTGTCCAAACGTAGATCTACCTTCACTTGCATGGCACTCCGAATATTTTGAAAAATAATTTTTTTTTTCTTTTAAAATGAAGAGCACATTTTTCTACATGTTATAGGATTAAAAAAAAATTTAGGGTCAGTACTTACTGAGATATAAGACCGTGAAGTTGGCTCTGGATGCTCACCTGTTGGCAACATCGACTCCTGCTGCTTGCAGAAGTGTTGCCGATATACCTTTTTTTCTCTTATTTTAATTTATATATTTTTTATGTTCTGATAATTCCAATTTATAATAGTTCTTGTAATTTCATAGCCAGTCTTTGTTCTGACACTAATATTAGGTACTGAAATAGTGCTTAAATAGTCATAATCACATTGACAGGTGAACATTTACACCTGCTTGGGTTATTTACTCTTGTTTAGAAATATATACAAAGAATTTATAGGTGCCAGCAATGTATTAGATACCCTGGAATATACCTTGAAGCATGTTGTTATGAAAGGCATCCCTATACTGTTGACAGCCCAGTGACATTTGATAAATGCCCACTGCTCCAGCTAACCCTTGCTGTATTTGTTATCACTGTGGCACACAAACATGTCTTGTCTCTGTCTATTTATCTATCTGTCTGTCTGCCTGTCTTTGTGTGTTTATCTGCCTGTCTGTCTCTGTCTATCTGCCTGCCTGTATGTCTCTCTTTATCTGTCTTTCTGTCTGCCTGGAGTATATGTACATCACACTCCTTGAAGAATTGTGTTAGGACATCTGTTATCAGCTCGGTGACATTTGATAAATGGGTGCTCGGGGAACCTTGGCTTTATTTGTTGTCACTGATACACACAAACATGTTTCTGTCTATCTGTCTATCTTTGCCTGAAATTTTTGAGTTTTCCTAGGTAATTTACACAATGTATAATAGTACTTATGTGTATATGTGAGACAGAGATATAGATACGCAGAGATATAGATACGCAGAGATATAGATACGCAGAGATATAGATACGCAGAGATATAGATACGCAGAGATATAGATACGCAGAGATATAGATACGCAGAGATATAGATACGCAGAGATATAGATACGCAGAGATATAGATACGCAGAGATATAGATACGCAGAGATATAGATACGCAGAGATATAGATACGCAGAGATATAGATAAGCAGAGATATAGATACGCAGAGATATAGATACGCAGAGATATAGATACGCAGAGATATAGATACGCAGAGATATAGATACGCAGAGATATAGATACGCAGAGATATAGATACGCAGAGATATAGATACGCAGAGATATAGATACGCAGAGATATAGATACGCAGAGATATAGGATAAAAGAGAGTAGATGGGCAGAGATATAGATGGGTCAGAGATATAGATGGCAGAGATATAGATGGGCAGAGATATAGATGGGCAGAGATATAGATGGGCAGAGATATAGATGGGCAGAGATATAGATGGGCAGAGATATAGATGGGCAGAGATATAGATGGGCAGAGATATAGATGGGCAGAGATATAGATGGGCAGAGATATAGATGGGCAGAGATATAGATGGGCAGAGATTATAGATGGGCGAGATATAGATGGGCAGAGATATAGATTGGGCAGAGATATAGATGGGCAGAGATATAGATGGGCAGAGATATGATGGCAGAGATATAGATGGGCAGAGATATAGATGGGCAGAGATTTTAGATGGGCAGAGATAAATAGATGGGCAGAGATATAGATGGGCAGAGATATAGATGGGCAGAGATATAGATGGGAGCAGAGGAGATAGATGGGCAGAGATATAGATGGGCAGAGATATAGATGGGGAGAGATATAGAGGGCAAGATATAGTTGGGCAGAGATATAGATGGGCAGAGATTAGATGGGCAGAGATATAGATGGGCAGAGATATAGATGGGCAGAGATATAGATGGGCAGAGATATAGATGGGCAGAGATATAGATGGGCAGAGATATAGATGGGCAGAGATATAGATGGGCAGAGATATAGATGGGCAGAGATATAGATGGGCAGAGATATAGATGGGCAGAGATATAGATGGGCAGAGATATAGATGGGCAGAGATATAGATGGGCAGAGATATAGATGGGCAGAGATATAGATGGGCAGAGATATAGATGGGCAGAGATATAGATGGGCAGAGATATAGATGGGCAGAGATATAGATGGGCAGAGATATAGATGGGCAGAGATATAGATGGGCAGAGATATAGATGGGCAGAGATATAGATGGGCAGAGATATAGATGGGCAGAGATATAGATGGGCAGAGATATAGATGGGCAGAGATATAGATGGGGAGAGATATAGATGGGCAGAGATATAGATGGGCAGAGATATAGATGGGCAGAGATATGATGGGCAGAGATATAGATGGGCAGAGATATAGATGGGCAGAGATATAGATGGGCAGAGATATGAGGGCAGAGATTAGAGGGCAGAGATATAGATGGGCAGAGATATAGATGGGCAGAGATATAGATGGGCAGAGATATAGATGGGGCAGAGATATAGATGGGCAGAGATATAGATGGGCAGAGATATAGATGGGCAGATATAGATGGGCAGAGATATAGATGGGCAGAGATATAGATGGGCAGAGATATAGATGGGCAGAGGATATAGATGGGCAGAGATATAGATGGGGAGAGATAATAGATGGGCAGAGATATAGATGGGCAGAGATATAGATGGGCAGAGATATAGATGGGCAGAGATATAGATGGGCAGAGATATAGATGGGCAGAGATATAGATGGGCAGAGATATAGTTGGGCAGAGATATAGATGGGCAGAGATATAGATGGGCAGAGATATAGATGGGCAGAGATATAGATGGGCAGAGATATAGATGGGCAGAGATATAGATGGGCAGAGATATTGACGGGCAGAGATATTGACGGGCAGAGATATTGACGGGCAGAGATATTGACGGGCAGAGATATTGACGGGCAGAGATATTGACGGGCAGAGATATAGACAGAGATATAGACAGAGATATAGACAGAGAAACAGCCAGAGACAGCCAGCCGGCCAGCCTGCCGAATACATAAGAACATAAGAAAGAAGGAACACTGCAGCAGGTCTACTGGCCCATGCAAGGCAGGTACATGTCACCCCTCCTCTGGCTTAGACCAATGACCCACCTAGTCAGGTCACATCCATTGAAGGAAGGAGCATGACATCAGACCTAGTAGCACACGCTAGTCAGTTCCAACTCACACCCATCCACACTCACTCATGTATTTATCTAACCTGTTTTTACTTTCCTCTTAAAATGGGAGTGTTAATGTGACGTGGCATCAGTGAATCCCTGGTGTTTGCCACACTATTTGCTCTAGCTGGCGCTCAGTTGAACTGGTGCTCCCACAAGGTACTAAGTGCTCCCAGATTTTTTTAATAGTGCACACACTGAGTGCACAGACCCATTCTTTCATGTCTAGGCGACTCAAGCCTACAGTGCCAAATTTGAAGGAATGAAATAATAATACGTTAATCTACGTTTAGAGTGTTATGCATGCAAACGTAGATCTACGTTTGGGCAGTTTAAGGGTTAATTTAAAAAACAAACAATTTTTTTTTCAAAATATTCGGAGCGCTGGCAGGCAAAACATAGATCTACTTTTGGACAGTTTAATGGTTAAGCACAAAAGCTGTGGTGATGCAGGTGGTAGTGCTAAGAAGTGCCAGGCCATGATATCACAGTGGAAACAAAAGTAGATATAAGAAAGTAGATGCTGCGACACTCAGGCCAACAACTTCTCATCCTCTGTTTTATTAAATTTATATTATTTACATACTTTGTTACAAACATATGTACATATGTTGGGCTTATGAACAAATGGACTCAATAATAACCACTCAGAACCGAACCTGTTTATAAGTAGGGGAATATCTGTATGTAAAAATCTTGATTTGATCTTTTTGTAGTACTATTTTTTTACTCTTTTATAAGACTTAATTGGCTAGTGTTCTTTACAAATTGTTTGTTCTGTATTTAGAAAACAGTTCAGAGGAAGAAGAAAAGAACAAAACCAAAGAGTCAAGCTGTTCTAGATAGAGAGAAAAAAGTTCTGAACGTTGAAGATGTTTTGTCTTCCACTCCACTAGACTTGGAGGCACTTCGTGAACTTGCTATTGGTGAGGGAGGTCTTGTCAGAGGTAAGACACTCTTGGGTATTTTTATAAACATGAGCATTCAGTAAATATCTTTCTTATGCATTATATACTGTTGTATATCTTTCATTGGTTAGTATTACTTTTTAGTTTTAATAAGAATAATTGCCTGTATAGTTTTAATATGAATAATTGCCTGTATACTGGTGAGTGGGGAGCAATGCATAGTGTTATTTTATAACTAATAGTGTTAGCCTATTTTTTAATACTATTTCATGTAAATTCAATGCATTTTAAGTGCATTTTAGACAAGAGTTTAGTGCTATTTGAAAATTTCATTTGGCAACCCTGAGTTTAATTACAGCTCCTATTCTTTACAAGAAGATGTAGACAATATGATAGTTTCTAGTTAGCCAGTTAACCCACCAGTTCACATTGAATAAAGCAAAATTACCAGTGTAGAATGGCAGTAGTCAACACTGGGTCTTGACACCATTTACATCAAGAAACACGACTCAAGAAATCGTAATGACACGATTGCAAACAAACCATACCCCCGGCTGGGATTGAACCCGCGGTCATAGTCTCAAAACTCCAGCCCGTCGCGTTAGCCACTAGACCAGCTAGCCACAATAAGATTCATCCAACTAGGTATATTTCTACACCATAGGAAGGTTAGCACAGGCACCACTGTGACCACAAATGCAAGTTTTTACAGACAAATCTCCAGCTAGCTTGGCCGTGACGAACTCTAGCTCAAGTCCCTTCACTGCCGTCAACATGACTCAAGAAATCGTAATGACACGATTGCAAACAAACCATACCATAAAAACTTGCATTTGTCCTCACAGAGGTGCCTGTGCTAACCTTCCTATGGTGTAGAAATATACCTAGTTGGATGAATCTTATTGTGGCTAGCTGGTCTAGTGGCTAATGCGACGGGCTGGAGTTTTGAGACTATGACCGTGGGTTCAATCCCGGCCGGGGGTATGGTTTGATCAAGAAACACTTCATGAAGTGAATACCTTGGCCTATGTGCAGTCAACCCTGAGCCTCAGTACTTACATCAAAGTACACTTTTTCAAGTGAACACCCTGGCCTTTGTGCAGCCAACCCTGAGTCTCAGTACTTAAATCAAGTGTTGTTGAATTAGACACATGAGCAACTCTTGGGCATCTTTATTGAGGAAATGTTTTGCCACACAGTGGCTTCATCAGTCCATACAAAGGAGAAACTTGAAGAACAGGAGGAGAATGAGGTAATCAGTCCCTCAGCCTTGAGTCGATGTGGTCAGTCCATCAATCTTGAATAGAATACGGTATATGAGCTAAGAAGCAGCTTATAAACCGTAGACAGGCGAGGGGCAGCAGTCGTAGGTGGTGTAACATTTGTCCAGTGTGGAAGTAGGTCGTGCCCAAGGGTTAGGCAGGTGAAGAATTCCCAAGTATTAAGATCCCAAGAAGTTGCAGTGTCTGACAGGATTGTAGATGAATGGTTCAGAGAAACGACATGTTGTTGAATTAGACACGTGTGCAACTCTTGGGCATCTTTATTGAGGAAATGTTTAGCCACACAGTGGCTTCATCAGTCCATACAAAGGAGAAACTTGAAGAACAGGAGGGGAATGAGGTAATTCAAGTTTCTCCTTTGTATGGACTGATGAAGCCACTGTGGCGAAACATTTCCTCAATAAAGATGCCCAAGAGTTGCACACGTGTCTAATTCAACAACATGTCGTTTCTCTGAACCATTCATCTACAACTTAAATCAAGTACAGTAGGGCCCCGCCTTACGGCGTTCCACTAATGTGGCGATTTAAAATTATGACCAAAATTTGCTATATGGCAAGCAGTCTTTCAAATAAGGCGCGCCCCACCTGGTTTGTTTACATTCTCCGTGAGCATATCTATTATGTCTGGAAACTTTCCAAAATTTCAAGTGTTTTAAAGTTATTATGTATTTTATATATCTTTTTTCTTTCAACACACCAGCCGTATCCCACCGAGGTGGGGTGGTCCAAAAAGAAAAACAAAAGTTTCCCTTTTTAAATTTAGTAATTTATACAGAAGGGGTTACTAGCCCCTTGCTCCCGGCATTTTAGTCGCCTCTTACAACACTCATGGCTTACAGAGGAAAAATTCTGTCCCACTCACCCATGGAGATAAGAGGAAATAAACAAGAACAAGTTTAATAAATTAATGAAAAGGGAAGGTAACCTAGGGAATTGGCAGAGAGATGTATAGATTCCCCTTTATATAAAGGGAAAGGGGACAAAAGAGATTGTAAAAAATATAGAGGAATAAGTTTACTGAGTATACCAGGAAAAGTATACGTAGAGTTATAATTGAAAGAATTAGAGGTAAGACAGATGTAGAATTGCGATGAGCAAGGAGGCTTTCAGAGTGGGTAGGGGATGTGAGATCAAGGTTACATTGAAGCATATATGTGAACAGTATTTAGATAAAGTAGGGAATTTTTATTGCATTTATGATTTAGAAAAGGCATATGATAGATGATAGAGGAGCAATGGGCAGATGATGCAAGTTTTATGGAATAGGTGGTAAAGTTACTAATGCCCTGTAAAGAGCTCTTATGAGGAAAGGGAGGCTCCAGGTTAGGGTGTGTAGAAGAGAGGGAGAATACTTCCCGTAAAGTAGTCTTAGACAGGGATGTGTAATGTCCCCATGGTTGTTAATATATTATGGATGGGGTTGTAAAGGTAGTAAATGCTAGGGTGTTCGGGAAGGGGTGGGATTAAATATGGAATCAAATCAATACAAAATGGAATGTGACAGTTATACTTTTTGCTGATGATACTACTGTGGCTTATGGGAGATATCTAAAGAAAAATTCAAAGTTAGTGGATGAGTTTGAGAATGTGTGTAAAGGTAGAAAGTTGAAAGTGAACATAGAAAAGAGTAAGGTGATGAGGGTAGCAAATATTTAGATAAAGAAAAACTGATCATCCAAATTGGGAGGAGGAGTATGGAAGAAGGTGAATGTTTTTCAGATATCTTGGGAGTTGACAGTGTCGGCGATGGATTTATGAAGGATGAAGGTTAATCCATAGAATTGATGAGGGAAAAAAAGGTGAGTGGTGCATTGAGGTATCTGTGGAGTCAAAAACGTTACCTTATGGAGGCAAATAAATGGGAAGTATGAAAGTATAGTTATACCACACTCTTATATGGATGTGAAGCTTGGTGGTAAATGCGCACGAGGAGACGGTTGGAGCTGGTGGAGATGTCCCTGTCTAAGGGCAATGTGTGGTGTAAATATATGCAGAAAATTCGGAGTGTGGAAATTAGGAGAAGGTGTGGAGTTAATAAAAGCATTATCAGAGGCAAAGAGGGGTTGTTGAGGTGGGTGTGGTCATTTAGAGAAATGGATCAAAGTAGAATGACAGGGAAAGCATATAAATCTATAGGGGAAGGAAAGAGGGGTAGGGGTCGTCCTCGAAAGGTTGGGAAAGAGGGGTAAACGAGGTTTTGTGGCACGGGGCTGGACTTCCACAAGCGGTGACAAACGTGTTAGATAGAGGAGTGCATGGATAACAATGATACTTGGGACCACTGACAAGCTTTTGAGAGTGAGCAGGGTAATATTTAGTGAAGGGATTCAGGGAAACCGGTTATATTTCATATAGTCGGACATGAGTCCTGGAAATGGGGAAGTATAATGCCTGCACTTTAAAAGAGGGGTATGGATATTGTGCAGTTTGGAGGGATACGGGGGGGGTGTTGCTATCTTTATACGTTATGCTTCTAAACTGTTGTATTCTGAGGCACCTCTGCAAAAGCAGTGATAATGTGTGAGTGTGTGAAAGTGTTGAATGATGATGAAAGTATATTCTTTTTGGGCTTTTTTTCTTTTTTGGGTCCACCGCCTCGTGGAACGACCGAACTTGTTGAAAAAAAAAAATATATTAAAAATAAATTCTTTTCTTTCTTTCAACCACACGGGCAGTATCCCACCAAGCAGGGTGGCCTCGAAAAGAAAAACTTTCACCATCATTCACATCCTTCCTTGTCTTGCCAGAAGGGTGCTTTACACTACCAGTTGTTTTTAAACTGCAACATTAACACCCCTCCTTCAGAGTGCAGGCACTGTACCTCCCATCTCCAGGACTCAAGTCCGGCCTGCCGGTTTCCTGAATCCCAACTCATAAATGTTACTTGCTCACACTCACAACACACGTCAAGTATTAAAAACCATTCGTCTCCATTCACTCCTATCAAACATGCTCAACGCATGCCTGATGGAAGTCCAACCTCCTCGCACACAAAACCTCCTTTACCCCCACCCTCCAACCCTTCCTAGGCGACCCCTACCAACCCCGCCTTCCCTTCCTCTACAGACTGATACATGATACACTCTTGAAGTCATTCTGTTTGCTCCATTCTCTCTACATGTCCCGACCACCTCAACACCCTTCCTCAGCCCTCTGGACAACAGTTTTGGTAATCCCGCACCTCCTCCTAACTCCAAACTACGAATTCTCTGCATTATATTCTCACCAACACAATTGCCCACAGACATGACATCTCCACTGCCTCATCCTTCACTCGCTGCAACATTCATCACCCACGCTTCACACCCATATAATAGCGGTTTGGTAAAACTATACACTCATACATATCCCCTCTTGCCTCCAAAGACAAAGTTCTTTGTCTCCACAGACTCCTCAGTGCAACCACCCACTCTTTTTCCCTCATCAATCTATGATTCACCTCAACATTCATAGACCCATCCTCCGACCCGTCCACTCCCAAATATCTGAATACGTTCACCTCCGCCTACTCTCTCCCTCCAATCTGATATTCAATCTTTCATCACCTAATCTTTTTGTTATCCTCATAACCTACTCTTTTCTGTATTCACCTTTAATTTTACTTCTTTTGCACACCAACTCCCAAATTCATCCACCAATCTCCTGCAACTTCTCTTCAGAATCTCCCAAGAGCACAGTGTCATCAGCAAAGAGCAGCTGTGAACACCTCCCCACTGTGTGTGTGATCTTTATCTTTTTAACTCCACGCTCTTGCAAGACCCTCGCATTTTACTTCTCTGACAACCCATCTATAAATATATTAAACAACCACGT